GCTATTTTGATTATATTTTTAATGGTGAAAAAAAACTTGATTAAAGAAAGCTCCACGACTTGGTGATTATGCTCGTTTGTGATGTGTTTTAGTAACTTAGAGTTCGTAATATCGATGATGATGATGATGATGATATGTTTTTACAATGAAAAAAAATATATATCCTATAGAATAGCCGTTTTTTTATTTGTTTTTATTTTTTATATTGGGGAGTTTTAAAATTATACATGGGTAATGAAAAATTTTATTTTATCCTTCATAACATTTAAGTAATTTAAATTTTGATGCAATCCAATCAAGAATTACCGAATATTTTCCAATAACTAATTTGATGCAATCCAATTAAGAATTACCGAATATTTTTCAATCTATATATATATCTATATAAAAAGGTTGTTGGAAAAATACTTAAATAGAATGTTTGATTTTTTAATTAATTTGTTTGACTTACTAATTTAGGAAAATTTGCTAAAAAGCACATGCAATTTGAGTAAAAAAATGAGATTTTAAAAGCAATATTCGAATCAATTTCTTAACACAAAAACCGGGAGGATGATGTTGAATTGAGGAAGAGGATAATGTCAATTGATTCTTTCCGAATTGAAAGGTCACATGTGAAATATATATACCAAGGATATCTAATTTATATAGTTACTTAGGGAGCATGATTGTAGGAGATCAAAATATATCAATGTAAATGTAATATCAAACCATATAAAACAAGTTTCGTTATAAGTAATTTAAACATTCTTGGTAAGTTTTAAATTATTATATATAATAAATCCTTTGTTTTTTTATATATATTAATAGATACTATATATGTATATATCTATATTTATATCTATATCTATATATATTGAAAGAGATTAATGAAAAAATCATTTATAGAAACTTGATAAAAAATTTGAGTCAAAACCTTTGACTTACCTCTTTTGAAAATTTAATATACTACTATAAAATAACAATAGGGATTTACTTTAAGTTGAAAAAGAGTTCCCGCCTAAAATTTTAGAGTTTACTACAATTGACCACTTTTTTAAAATTCTTTCAAAAATTGGGGGTTGATTTGTAATTTGAATTTTAGCGGCGACGTTGGCTGTGGTCGAGTCTATCAATGAGTACATGACATCATTGAATTTGTTGGATGGTCGTATGTACTTGGGCTCTGACAGTACGTGCAAATCAGATTCTAATAATAATTTTTTGTCTGATGTCCATACGCCTGAATTTTTTAATAGTATCAAGTGTTCCGGAATACCGAACCATGAGTTGTATTTGAAGATTGGAACTCCAGTCATATGTTGTTGCGGAACATAGATCATTTTATGGGTTTGTGTAATGAGATACGATTGGTTGTGACAAAGCTATCCACTCATGTTCTTGAGTGTAAGATACTCACAGGAGATCATGCTGGTGATAAGGTGTTGATTCCAAAAATGGTCATAACTCCTTCCGATGTTAGAATTCCTTTCAAGTTCCAGCGGCGGCAGTTTCTCAATATGATTTCTTACGTCATGACTATAAACAAGAGCCAGGGACAATCCTTATCTCATGTTGACTTATTTCTTAATAAACCAGTATTCAGTCATGGCCAGTTATATGTTGTTGTCTCCACTGTCACTAACCACCGAAAAGGTTTGAAAATCTTAATTTGTGGCGAAGATGACGTACCAAAGTATCAAACCAAGAATGTTGTATATAGGGAAGTGTTCAATAATATATGATCTTTTCAGTTTAATTATATGTTTATATGTTTATTTTTATGATCATGATCACTGTATTATTACACAATTCATATAAAAAATGTCTTCTAAAAAGCATATAAATAATTAATACTAATTGTATCATCACTAGTAACTAATTAATAAGAGAGTAAAAAAGATGGAAATTAACACAAAACACACCTACTTAATAAACAATACAACACAATTAATCTCTTTCTTTTTTCTTCTTCTTACTCCTTTCCTCTTTCCGTCACCAGAATCATTTTGGGACTTCGTCTCCCTACGAAGAAGAATTTTGGAAGAATTTTGGATAAGAAAAACTGGTTTTTTTTATACAGATTAGCATTTTTTTTATTATTGTTTTTATTTTTTAGATCTTCTGGATATTTTTTATAATTGCTTTTTTTTTTGTTGGAGCTGTATCTAGACTTTTAATAGGACTAATTTTTAATATGAGTTGGGTTGTGACTTAGCTAGACTTTTAATAGGACTAATTTTTAATATGAGTTGGGTTGCGACTTGTGAGGGTGAGAAAAAGATTTGAGTGGTGTGATTTGCATGGATTTAACCGCTGGATGAAAACCTTGCAAATGTTTAAGAGTCATGAACCTTTCGAAAAGGAATACGGAAAAAAATTAATGAGAAAGGGGCAAAATTGGGCTTCATTAACTAGAACCTTCGAAAATAATAACAATTGGGCTCATACAAATAAATTATTATCTTGGGCCTAAAGTGTTGAATATTTGGGTGTTCAATTCTTACAGGAGTTTTCGTTTGATATAAGAAAAACACAAAAATATCAAAGCACTTAATTCATATAAATAAATAAATAATATGATAAAATTAAACATATAAAAATATAATAATTAATATATAAAACATATTTTTCATGCTAATTGGTTGGTCCAATGAATGGAAATCCGATTTTTCGGCCATGCTCTCTATTAACAAAAAACTATACTGTAAACAATAAGTTGAACATTTTCTCCAAAACAAAGGAGGGGCTTCTTGTTTTCGTTGAACTAGTGTATACCCTGTGCGATGCACGGAAATAATATTAAATTAACAATATTATAAATAGACCTCGAGTTTGAGTCACTCAATGACTCAAGTGGAAACTACTATTGATCCTATTTAAAAAAAGGAAGCAAAAAAAAATAATTATAAATTAAAGAGGAAGATAAACAATACTTAATAATTATAAATTAAAGATTCAGGGTCAAACAATGTAAAATTATTTTGTATAAGATAATATAAAAAAATTTGATTACACACCATTTCAAAATTATTATTATACTTTTTTGTATGGTTAGCTTATAATATTTGTAAAAATATTAGTAATTAGACCGATAAAAATTAGCTTCTTAAAGTAGATAATGGATTTTCAGTAGTAATTATGAATTGGTTTCTATTTTATTTTATTTTTTCTTTTTAAAGATAATGGATTTCTAGTAGTAATTATGAATTGGTTTCTATTTTATTTTATTTTTTTAAATCTGTATAGATAAGGGATGAAATTTTTTAAACACGGGAGATGTATGCAATGGGATTTTGTAACAGAAGAGATAAGCGTGTAGATTTATACTAAAAATAGGAAAAATAAAAATAAATATTTATTGTCAAACAACGGTTTTGATAAACTAAAAATAATGAGCCGATTTTTTTGCCTATTCAGATTTGTCCAACAATTACTATATTAGGATAGGGGAAAAAATTTCTAAATTTGTAAAAAGGTTATTCTTTTTATATAATGATAGATTAATACTGGTTTGCGCAACTTTCAATCGATTAACGGTTCTGCCTAATCTAGTCAGAAATAGCTCATGTTCGGTATACAAGAAAACATGAAATAATTCAGGTGGTGGTCCATTTATAGCTAAATTCAAATTTCACCCCTCCCACCTCCTACAGCGTTCAATTAGATCAGTGTGGTTAAAGAATACAAATATCATGTACATTTTCTGCCATATCCGTTTTATATATAATTTCAAAATGTACTGAGCTTATGTGACAAACTCTCATGTTTTTGGAATCCTATTTAGCAAAAAATAATGCTTTAGAGTTAAGCTTGGATATAAATTAATATTTATATTAATTATATTATAATATCGTTTCTTATTATAACCATTGAATTGAAAATATATTTTAAAAGTTGATAACTTTTGTATTTTTTATCGGTTTTACATATATAATATGTCAAATTAATCATCTTTTGATGAGCTTCGATTTGACATCCATATTGTATATTTAAAATAATAAAAAAATATGTATTAACATTAATTAAAAAATAAAATTATTATCAATTAATATATTTATGTTTAATGTAGTTATAACTTATATGTTATAAGGTAGAAAATCTATTATAATATAACATATATAAGTCGCACAAGTAACATGTGTCATACTAAAATATATAATAATATATTCTCTCCTATTTTTATTATTTGTCACTTTGGCTTAATTGATCATTGATAAAATAAATGACGTTTTAAATATTTTGTTTATATTTTTCTATTTTTAACCCTCTATCTAATACACAGTGTCTCTTCATATTCCATCTCCATCGTTTTCCATAACATCCATTAAATAGGGTTAATATTATCAAGAAAAAAAATCTTAAATAGTGTATTGCATTTGAATTGATATTATGAAGTTCGTTTGCATTTTAGTATTTATTTATATATATAGTACAAAACAATAATATATATTCTTATAAATAAAATTTAAATTTATTTATCAAACTGAATTATTCATTTATTTAAGGTATATATTTTTGTACTTATATAATAGTAAATAATACCGATATTTTTATATGATATAAGTAAAAAAATTCAATACGAGTTGACATTTTCATTTAATGTACGAGTGTTTAATTATTATGATTAAAAAAATATAATTTAACAATTTAATTAAAACCCAAAGTAATGTTTTATATAAAATTAAATTATTTTAATTTTTTTAAAAAATTAAAAAATTTAATATTTTTTACAAAAGTTTTTTA